TCAGATGCAGGGAATCACACTCGCGCAGTCCATCTCTCTCTCACAATATCTATCTACTATACATAATACACTGCTTTTAATACAGTAATACAATAAGCTTTAAATGAAGAAACTCAACGTTCCTTTGTTACTAGTTCTAAAGTGACGTTTTGGAATTAGTAACAGAGGCTTGGGCTCACTCAGCTGTTTAACTGTCTGACTTTGAAATGAATCTGTGGCGGAAGGAAGTAGTTCTGCACAAAAGAGGGCTTTTAAAGCCACTCCGTTATTATTTTGTTTATACACACTTGTGCCATCGAACTGTTGTATAATCGCAATATCACACTCGTAGACCTAAGATATGGCTGTATTGCCTACGGCCAAATCACAGCGGTGCCGATATGCAGCCATATCTCACGTCTACTCGTGTGATATTGCTTATATATATTCTGGTGTGGTCAAAGAGAATTTCAACCTTTGTTTGCAGTGACGTTGTAGTGTATTGTAGTGCAATATTGCGAATTATGTAGTGTTTTTAAGCTCAGTCCGAGCTAATATATATATATTTTTTTTTTTTTTTTTTTTTCAAAAAGGTATTTCACATAGGGCCCAACTAATTCAGTTATGACATCATAAAGTCTGGAGCTCAAAGACAAATTTATTTGTATAGTGCTTTTCACAGTACACATTGATTCAGAGCAGCAAAAAACATGATGTTAATTGTAAGGTCTCTGTCTTGTGAAACAGACCCCCATAAGCTGTGGATTCACCACGTGAATCATGAAACAGAAATATTACAGAAGGACCTAAAGATCTCCCCCCTATCAGCCATCATGAGGTTGAAACTAATCCGATCAGGAGATAACACAGAGATCTTTGGTATCAGGACTGAAAAGTTATTTCACGACATATAGATAAGCGAGACTCCAAAACTCAAACACTTCAGCTGAAACTTCATGACTGCCAGAGATCTTCAAAAGCCTAGAGTCTTGCAAACTCAGACTCTTTCAGAAGAACTACCAGAGCCTCTGCGTCACCAGGAAACCCCATTCATCAGGAAGGCATCCCCAGAAACTACGTCATCCAGACTTCATCTCAGCAACCAGTCCGGCGCTCCGGGACTCCCTCAGGCAACGAGGAAACCCCTCCGCTTCTCAGATTTCAGCAAAAGGCAAGTACAAACAAAGCTTCTATCTGCTGAACTGGTGCAGAACTAATTTTAAGCAGTAAACATAAGCCAAGTCTCTGCTTTATGAATTTTCTCAGGTTACAAGTAAAAGAACTGTAGCGAATATCTTGCTAAAACTTTGGGCTTTCCTCAGAACTCCGTTAACATCATTTCCCTGAACCTTTGTGTGTATGTGTGTGTGTGTATGTGTGTTTTAGCGTAGTTTAATGTAATCTAGAATAGCCAATACATTCTTGTTTCATTTATAAAGAATCATTGTCTTGTCTTGTAATTTTAAAGTTGAACCTTGCCAAGATCTTGTTACCTAGCTCGTAGCGTATAACTTATCAAAGAACGTATTAACCCGTGGCCAGGGAAAATACAAATATTCAAATTGTTAAAATATACTGAGGTTAACGTCTTGCTGGACGACCGTTGATAAAGTGTAAACTATCAAATTGGAAATCAGTTCTAATCAGGTTGACTTCGAATTTTCAGATTAGATTCCATTCAAAACCTGAGCTAGAAAGAATAATAATGATTAATTCCCTAAGAAAAGTAATCTGACATTACATAATGTTCATAATATCTTAATATTTTTATGTCTTATCGTTGAATTTAGCAGATTTGAGCTGGGCGATACATAGTTTATAATTAAAATGTTAATACTATCATTCAAATAGATTTTTTTTTCCTCAAAGGTTATTCTAAAGTTTGCAAATGATGATCTAAATTCAGCAATACTACTGATCAATAGAAATCAGAGGAGAGCATCTTTTGTACATCCCATTCTCTGTGGCCTCTTCTAAGGTCACAAGTCTCCTAAGTGACCTTGTGAAACATAAAACCCACCACAAACCAGCAGACACATCCACCTACAGCTTCTCTGATTGATAAGAGAAAGAAGAAGAAGGAACTACTATGGTCTTATAGAATGAGTTTTCAGCAGTTACCCGAGGAGTGCTGGTTTGGCAGTTAGTCTCTGTGATTTGTAACATTTCCTCTAAAAGATGGATGAATATTGACAACGTCGTAAAATATTTAGAGCCTGTGAGGTTGTGGGATTTCCTGGGATGAGAATTCAAAATTAACCCACAGTTTCCTGAAGCACTCTCTGCCTTTCACTGCAGCATGATAGAAAGCACATGAAAATTGATTCATCATATGGAAGAGTTCTCTTAGGTTACTTCATAGCTCTAATGCAGGAGTAAAATGATGATGTGGCGAATATTTTACAGCATTAACTATATATATCTGAAATATGAGAGTGTATCTACCTTCTATCTTTCCAGCTTTAATGAGATGCATGCATCTTCACACATATAACATACGACAGTATGTGCAGATGGATGCACTGTGTTTTGAACTGATTTGCTCTCTAGGGCATCTCAAGATTTGCCAAGACATCAGCGCTGTCGACAGGGAGTTGGAGTTTCTCCAAAGAACCACCTTGAAAAACAGGTGCCAAAATAAGGTCTTATTTATAAAAATAAAATTCAAAATGTCTTAACGACAAATAATAAAATTACTATATCCCCCCTTTTTATTGGAAAAAGTTGTACAGTTTACAGCAGGTATATTTATATTTAATAAATAAAATTAATAAAGGAATTTATATTTAAACAAAATAAACATCTAGGCCTAGTTACTTCATGTTTATTAGCTTTGAGGTCCTCAATATGCTAGTATTCTCTACAAAGTTGATACAGTGACTATCATCAGGTATTTAAAATGTACAATCGTTACAAAACAGACCACAAAAAATAAGTAATTTTGTACGCATGGGCATACACAAATTAATGTTCAATAAAATGCTATCTACAATGAGAACATCCCCTTAGTCTTATAAAGATAAATACTACTGGTCTTGTTTGCACCTGGCCTCTTTGGTAGCACTAACGCTCATATTTTGTTTTATTTTTTCTCAATTATTAATTGGTTTTGAAGGAAGTGGCTTGAAATTATTCATTATAAAACACAGCTGTTCAAATCATAGTCCTACAATCCAGCTCCTATGGGGTTTTAGAATAGCATTTTATCATTTTATTTTATTTTTGTATCAGTAAAATCTGTAGGTCTGTAGTTAATAAATTACTCACAGTAATACCTGAAATGTATACTTCAAAAGCTGAGGGGAAATTTTTTTTAATTTTAATTGATGAGTTTATGTTTTTGAGGAACCAAACAACCTATGTAGTCTTTATATAATAATAAAATAATATTTAAAAAAAGTATGGCTTTGTATGATTTCTTGTTAATTCTTAAACAAATAACAACAACATACCTTATTGTACTCATATATCAAAGTAGCTATTCTAAAAACAAAAAAACAAAACAAAAAACAAAACATTTATTTCCAGAGGGAACCCAAGGTGAAATAGCCTTTCAGGTTGGCCTACAATTTGACGTCAAAATTGAAAGACTGAACACCAATAGCACAGGCTACTAAACTTGATTAGCCCCACCCCAACTTCCTGTTTCAATAAGAAGAACTTCAACACAGCAGAGAAAACTGTACTTAGGGCCTTTCGCACCGCTTTAGTTCCAGAACTAAATGTACAGTACTAAAGTACTGGGACGATTTTGCGCGAACTATTTCCCAGTACCATTTAAAGGGTTGCATTCGCACCGAGAGTGTGTACTAGGAACCGGTCGACAGCGACGTCATTTGTGCGCGGCGTTCAACAACGAAAACAAAGAAAAACAACATTAACAACAGGAGGATGGAGGACGCTGTGATCGGAGCTGTGTTTTTGTTGTGTCTCGCGGGTTTCACAATAATGGACATGGAATGTCGACGTATACATAAAGCGATTGAAAGAACGGAAAGGAGGACTAAGAATCTCCAACGACAACTGGCAGTGCTACATTTGCCACAAGTGCCTGCACTTCAGCGTCTGTCCATCTATCGCTGTTCTCCATACTTGCGAAATAAGTTGACACAATGTTTACAGTATGTTTACACGGCGTTTTAAATCATGGCGGGTGAGGGTGTTTTCGTACGCGTTTGGCCAATCAATGTCTACTTACGTCACGATTAGTACCAGTTGTGCTGGTTAGACCCTGCTCCAGAGTAGGAGCTAATTTGGTTCTCGAAAAAGGCAGTCCGGTACTAAAATCGCTCCCAGTTCCGGCGGTGCGAAAACGCCAAAAAGTGGGTAGTTCCACAATTAGTTCTGGTACTATGAAAAGGTTCCTGAGGTGCGAAAGGCCCTCTTGTCAAGCATTTTCAGTGTTTAGGAACCTATAAACCGGTTTCATTTTGTATAGAATCAATGGCTTGAAATTGCATTGCTTGACTGAAAAAACTGGCACTGAGAAGAGGAAATCACAAGGCAAATTACTCTAATGGCCTCTAACCACACCGCAGCAAACCGTACAGGCATCTGAGGCCTGAGCCAATGAAAACACAGAACCCAGCAAGGACACTTATAGCTCAGGGAACCAAAGACCAATCCATGCTCACTAGTTACTCACAGCAGACTGAGCATATTGAATAATCTTAATCTGGCAGATGTAAGAACTGCTACATCACTGTGAGATGAAGATAATACTTATGCTATAAATGTGATTATATATAGGATACGTACACAGCATGAACACAGCAACACAACATTTGAAACAAGAGAAATTCCAAATGTTATCCCATCGGAATACACCAAAAAGAAGTAAACGCATTCTATTTTTAAATAGAAGATCCTCATGTGTAATCAACAGCGATCTGTATTTGTAATGTTAATTAAAAGCACACTGAGTGGCACAAATCCAAATGCAAGTAGGTATGACGCTATACTACGCAGTAAAACACAACAAACTGCACAGTCACAGCAGGTATCACAGAAACATCACTTACAAATCCCTGCAGAGAGGATCTGCAAGGCCATTATTCCTTATCCGAAGCATCCAGCAAAAATCTTCAGCCATAAACACACTCAGCAGCTGTACTAAGGCAAGGCTTGATGAAACCAGGGCTATAATTTCTCTCCTCCCTTCCCTTTCACTGCCATCTTCCCTTCTTATTTCCTACAGTCAATACAAGGGCCCCTGCACGCAGCTCTGTGACAGAACCCATTATGATCTCATGGTTTGCTATTGGGTGAGAGCTATTCTCAGTGGGATGTGATTGGTTAGTTAGGTGGTCGGGGGCAGGGCTGATCAGATGGTGGTGATCTGAGACATGGACCCAGCTGACATGCATGGATGCTTTCGAGGAAAAGGCAGCAGTGTCGTGCTTTTAGGTCTTGATATATAGGAATTAAATTGGATATATGTATATAAAATCTGGATTTGAATTTTTAATTTTACTATAACCTAAAGATGCTATGTGAAAGTTTGAAACAGAAAATAGTGGATTTCTTCTTGCCACTTTCTTGGTAAAGAAAACACATTTTTACTCAAATTAATCAAAATGGATTTATAGCGTTTTGGAACCAAACTCTTCATATATATATATATAAATGTATAAATTACATCTTCTTACAGCTTTTGGTAGAATGAGTGAAGCGCTCGCAGGGATGCTGGAAGTATGGCAGAAGACACAGCGTCTCATTCCTTCGGGGAACTAGGGTTACATATGTAACCTTGAGGCGTTACCCTTCAGGAACTCGAGCTGCATCGAGACGCTTTGGGAACGAAAATGCCCACGCGCCAGACTTTCAAGTCCCTGCATAGTGTGTATGAACTTCAGCACAACTACGGCAAAAGGATGGAGGAACCAGGAGTGGTATGAACGTCGAGGTCATAGAACCTGACGAAGGTAAGTGATGTAGACCAACTCGCAGCGTTACAAATATTCTGCATAGTCACACCCGACAGGAAGGTCTTGGAGGCCGCCACGCTTCAGGTGGAGTGAGCCTTGACCCCCAAGGGCGAGGGGAGACCAGAGGACTCATAGGACATGGAGATGGCATCAACGATCCACCGACTGAGAGTCTGCTTAGTAGCAGGCAGACCCCTCTTGGAAGGACCATAACAAATTAATAATTGGTCAGACTTCCTCCACATGGCAGCTCTGTGGACATTAGGGCTGGGCGATAAATCGATAACGATAATTATCGCGCAATATAAATGTCCTCGATAAACGATAACAAGAGTTCCCTGCAAAACTTTTGCCCAGATTTTTGTTCCAATTTGTAGCGTAGATGAGTTGATGTTAGTCGCTGAAAGTCACAGGCAGTCTGCAGATTTTGAGCAGTTGGAGTTAGGGCTGGGCGATAAGTCGATAACGATAATTATCACGCAATATAAATGTCCTCGATAAACGATAACAAGAGTTCGATAAATGTTCGATATAATGTTTATGTGGCAAAGACGGAACGAAAGAGCGCAACTCATTTGAAGCGTGCCACTTGGAGCGTTTTTCCGCTCGGATCAAAGTTCAAACGGCGGCGCAGCGCGATCTTCACTAGAGCAGATGCGTTTACTCACTGAGAAGTCTCGGTCACGCGACATTGAACAGTGCTGTGAGATCCAGTGTGAAGCACTTGAATTCAGCGAAGAACACAAATAACTATGTTTACAGCCAGATGACACAGTGCTGACAAACAGGAGAAACACTGCGCAACGATACAGTCAGAAGACTTTTTAATCACAATGGCATTGTGTCAGAAATGTGGGTATTCGTGTCAAATTGTATTATATTATTAATGTAGACATGTCTCCTATTGAAGGAGGAGTAATGGAATATAATTACAGTATTTTTTTTTATTAAGCTATAGCGTTTATGCATTTATAAATTTATTTAGACTACTGTTTTCATAAATACAGTATTTTTTGTGATTAAGCTATGGCGTTTATGCATTAATACTAAATGTATTTAGACTACTGTTTTTCATACAAATACCTAAAAACCATATTACATTTTTACCATGTTATTGAGGTGCTATATTTGTGGTTTTAACTGTGATTATCATGATCTAAATGTATGCTACTATGGAAGACCAATGGTTAAAAAAAAAAACACCTAAAACAGCCAGAATAATTAAATTTCACCATATAAAAATGAGATTGCTAAAATTTTAACAGATATTACTGATTTTAACAAAGAATACCAAATAAGGGCATGGGAAGGCACATGGGGAGCAGGACACACACAAAACATGGAACAGAGTCTGACAAACATGCAGACCTAAGAAATATTTTTTTTTCTATTAAGATATTTATATTGTTAAGGAAAAATGACTGGAAAAGTGTAAAGAATTCAAAAACAAAGTGTTTGTCATGTTCTGACCATAAAGAATAGTTTAAAATTAACCAACTGGTTTTTACAACTTTCACATTGGAGCAAAAATCTGCCTTTAAACTTGAAAGAAATAAAAATGTTACATTTATTCTGATAATTATCGATATCGACTAGGCATGGGCCGGTATGAGATTCTGACGGTATGATAACCTTAGATAAAAATTTCACGGTTTCACGGTATCACGGTATTGCTATTACAGCTCTAAAATATGTTACTTTTAAATGTCTGGGTAAAAAACAACAACTTTTTTCCCCCACTGAACACAATACATTTTATTTTTAAGAAACATAGAACATTTTGGAACAGTAAACATGTCAGGCTAAATAATTAAAATAAATAATTTAATTCTTATTAATTTAGTGAGCCTACACCTACAGCTCAACAATAATCAGAACGTAAATAAATTATTTTCTGTAAAAAAAAAATTAAAATCCTTCTAAATGGAAAAAAATGCAGTCACTTAAGTGAGCCTACACCTGCAGCTCAATAATCAAAAGCATAAATCAAAACATAATTTCTGTTAAAAAAAAAAATAAAAAAAATGCAGTCATTAAGCCTGCAGCTCAACAAGGTTTTTGGAGACATGCTCACTTTCTACACATTCCTCATTCAATCCAAGTTATGATGCAGGAATGTTAACCTTTCCTGGATTAAGTTTGGAGCGGTGAGGTACGAGGATGTGTGCACATACACATAAGGAAAGAGAGAGCGTGAGTGTGTTACAACACACACACACACACACACAGAGTCTTTCTCCATACAACACTCAAAACAGTGGCAAAGACACCTGAGAGCCAACAGTTTGTTTGTTTTTTAAATGTCGTGATTTTGAACAGATGTAAACAATGGCAGGAGGCTTAAAAGTATAGACGTGATTCCAGCTAAATTTAATAATTGTACTAAATCGCAGAAACGCAGTACTTTAGTCTGCTATTCCTCGCTCTGTGAAGTAATGTGAGGGAGGAAACTAGTTGATGTTAGCTAGTTAATTAGCCATGTTATCTGCCTCGGTAGCAAGCCAAATAGTATTTATTTCAACACTGAAACAAACGGCGGATGGGTCTCTGTCTTAATCGGGGGTTAAAGAGAGAGAAATGAAGATGACACAGATATATAGTTTATGTACGACCTGGAAGTATTTATTTATCGATCGGCGCTAAAACGTCATCTGTACGGAACATCATTGTGTACGGAACATGGTTAGTCTACGTTACCCGAAAAATTCCCATACAGCAGAATTCATCTTTTTCGACGGGGAAAAAGTTCTAGGGATTAACCTCCTTTGGCCATCCCACACACAGGTGACTCTCACTGACTGCTCGCACCAACCGGAGGGGAAGGGGTCATGTGACTCGTTACGTTCTTCGCTGCACACAACTGAGGGAGTCCTGCACTTTCCATATTTGATGAGACGTAAAAAGAACTGTATAACTGCATACGGCAGGAACGGTATAACGGAAAATTCTCCTCGAAGAGAGCCCTCCATGAGCGAAGTGTCCGCAGTGAGAGGCGCTCGCAATACGGACAGCTCCCTCGAGAGCTGACTCGGCGTGCTTCGCCCCCAAGCAAACAATGCAAAGGCTGTGTGTATCCCCGCCCATGATGCAACGAGGGCAGGGAGGAACACACAACCTAAACTGATGTTTGCTTTTATCTTGCCCTCTTGGACTTGTCTTTTGCCTTAGGCATTGCTGACTTATCTGTAATAGTGACAGACAATGGTAAATAAGACATACACACACAGAGCGCTTCACAGAATGATAGAAGCAGCCGCTGTTTCCACCGCACGTGCCTTTATAGCTTCCTGGTCACTACGTCACCCCGTCCGTGATGTCGCGCCCATCCATTGGACTGATTTCACACGTGATTCAGAGCGTGGGGCAGGGAGGGTGGTCACGCTGAAGGCGTTCCCAAAGCATCTCGACACAGCTCGAGTTCCTGAAGGGGAACTGTATACATGTTATATACTGTATATATATCAAATTTAATCTGAAAACGTTAAAGGAAACATATTCAAAGGAATCACAAATATTCTGACTGTTTATTTGTGAAATATATAATAATTTATGATTAAGTATATCATGATTCCAGATGTTGGACAAATGAACCCGAGTTGTCCTGTAATTACATTTAACCGAATCATTTAAAGTTAGCGTAATTGTACTGCTAAACAGAGAAGAAACCACATTATGATACAAACATAATGCAATTACCCACTGGCACGAATATATTTATAACACAATCAAATTTGGCCCCAACACTTTAGGACGTACTCTACCACCCTTTTACGTCAAACAACTGGAAATCACATAAGCAATGTCACACAGGAGGAAATCATCACCATAAAACTGGAATACACTTCAAAAATGCTAATAAAACAGCTACACACCCTGAACTTATTCAGGGAATGATATGCTGGCTTGATATTCCATTCTAAGCGCAATTCCAAGCAAACTCCTTGGAGGAAAATTATATTGCCTGTTTACGTTGAGTAAACACACATGAATTAGCCCACACTGCAGGGTGCTATGTAAACAGCAGGGAGGGCCATTTACATAATGCAATTTCATGCATAGACTGTCCAGTAAAGCTTTCAGTAAATATCTCAGTTTCCCTTTCAGTCGGTCACTCCGGACGTCACGTCGGCTGACCGACGAAATTGGGATCTCGCTTAGAGGGACCAATCCACTTCGAGTGTAAACTAAACGAGCCAATGCACATTGGCATGCGATTATTGCATCCAGCTGCT